CCGCGACGCGCGATGCGGCGACTGTCGCGCTGCTACTTACAGTTGGACAAGATCGTCTAGCTGCGAGTTGCACTTTCTGACGACATGGAGGAAATAACTTGTATAGGTAATCATTATAATTGTGGTAGAACTTTGCCACGAGAGATGAAAAGCCACTTTACCACATATTATGTTTTGATAACACAGTTGCCTAAATGTGCAAACAACAGTGATAATAATGAATTATTCTTTCCTCGTATATATATCCTCTCACGTATTTCTCGTACACACGGGTGTACGAGAGAATTGAGTGCCCATCGCGCAATTGTACACACGGGTGTACGAGAAACGCGAACCGATTTGAATTTTTTTTTGTGACGTATATTTTCAAGTTTGCAAGCCGTTCTTTATTTGATTGAACAGAATAGTTAATTCACATTTCTATTAAAATATTTACCCGTGTGTATGAGAAGCGCGCGAGAGGATATAGTATATACGTTTATTTCAATAAAACACTTAAATTACAACTATTACTTAAATAAAATTAAAACTAAATATTACTAAATTAAATATATACAACTTAAGATTAAAATTAATTATAGGAAAAACAAACTATTTATAAAGCATCAAAAAACTCGTCCGCATCGATGTCAGTGGGGAAAGTACCCAGAAGGCAGCATTGCCACGTTGTATGGCAATGCTTAACCTCTGACCGAGAAAAAGACCAGCCCTCTGGTCACGAGATGTGTCGACCAGGCGTTTCGAAATGTTTTTGAACAATTTAAGCGCACTCGGACCCCACGGACCTAGTGTCTCAACCCCAAACGGCTCAAAGATATAACTACCAGCAAGGTTGTTATACTTGCGCCGTATATACGTATATCTTTCTCCATATAATAGTTAGTTGTCCGGTTAGTTTGATTAATTCATATATCATTATTATCATCATCATCACATCATCGTCCACTAGTGGACAAACGCCTCCACCGTAGTTCTTCATGTCGTACGACAACTCGCCACCTGCATGCACTGGCTTCCCGGACCACGGCCCACGCTTCGCCTTCCAGGGCGTGGTCTCCACTCGGTCACTTTCCAACACAATTCATCCTGCAGAATTGGCGAGCTATGTCGGTAATTTCTAGTTATTTGGCTAATTTTAAATTCATACAGGAATGGCAAAAAACGTGGAACATATTGTGCTAACGACGTTGCGGGTAATTATTGTTGATTACAGAATAAATCAAATTGGGATGGTAACCAAACCAATTACTTAGAAATACAAATTGAATGTGAATGAATTGCTTACTTAAGTAGGTACATAATTAATGGAATAAAAAGAAAAATTGTTCAGTACTGGTGAACAAGCTTCAAAATAACATGTCGGTGCATCGGATCAATCGCAATTTAATTTTAATGAACAACAAACTTGATAAGGACTTTAATAATATAATCAAACCGTTTAACATAATTCTCACTATGTTTAATTCTTCAAAATTTAAAATAAAGGATGGTTACATTAATGAGTGCGAAAAGAAGTTTCATATACCGTTATATTTCATAAATCTATTAATTACTGTAGTAACTTTGTATTCTCTGGTCACAAATATCACAGTATGGATTTTAGCCGACATATCGACGATCTTCATTTACTTTTGTTTGTACTTCATTCAATCGACCCTTTTAACAGTTGTCAATATATTCTTCAGCTCTGTGCACGTCTCACTTATAATAAAGCTTCAAGAAATTCACAGGAACTTCGTATTTCATACCAGTTTTGTTAAAAATTTAATAATTTGGAATTGGATTACTTTTTTGAGCCTCTCATTTTTGATTATCGCATACTCATCGGGTTACTTTATCATTACTAAAATTGCTATTAATTTATATAACTTTAATTGTATACTTATAATAATAGCGTACGATCTAAATTTTGTGTATGCTGTGCGTATTATAACCTTGTTGACTATGTACGTCAGACAATGGATTGAAAATACACACGTAAGAACAATTTCCAATGAAGAAGAGAATAAAAAATATTGGGTGAATATGTTTAAGATATATGAAAATATTTTATTGGCTTACAAAACATATATAACTAGTTTCGAAATATTGGTGAGTTAATTTCAAAAGCGATTTTTAGAGGAATAAA